ATGATTATAAGCATGTTTATAATTTATAAACACAAAATTATTCTTATTGAAAATCAACCATTAGATAGAATAAAAATGAATATACAAGAAAGGGTTTAAGAAAGTAAAAAAAATATATGTATATTTATAAATTATAAATACAACATTAATCTAAATGAATAATAAGTGTTAAATGATAGAATATCCTAGAATATTTAAGCATATTCTAGACATATCCACTACCATCCCAGTCCAAACCAAAAATTAAAGTAATAAGATATTTGATTATTTCTCATAATAAAATTTAAAACAATGTATTAATAATTCTTAAATTTCACATGTAGTGTATATATGATGAAATTTATTAAATGTTTCTTCCATAGTTTTAGTGTTATATAGCACTCTTTATAACTCAAATCATGTTATTATTTACCTTTTGTACTTTCTTTGATTTTTATATAGAAATACTTAGTAAATTATATAATAAATAACTTACCCACACATAACTTTGTTTTAAAAATTAAATTTGAAAACAATTTTATAATAATTTTGAATATTTTATGAAATCATTAGCTGTTTTATATTCAACCCTAATAAATTTTATGCCACACATAACTCTTAATTTATATATTCTTTAATCTTCACAAACAATCATCATACAATGAGATTTTTTCCCCACTTTAAGTGGATATAAGCTTTTGAATAAGATTTCTTAGTTACTTTAATGGGATATATAAATACAACCCTCACTTTTCAACTTATAGGTTAAGTTCTTTAAGTTTGATTTTAACTTATTTCATAAGAATGTGACATAATCATATTTTATAACTTTATGTAAATATTGTTTTTATGATAAATAAAAAATATTTTAGCCTTTATCACATACTACATAGTCTAATTACATTGTAAAATATATTACTATAAGAGGATTTTGTTAATGAACATGTTTCCTGTTTATTCTTTAGTTCTGAAGTTGTTGGAGCAATAATTCTTAAACTTATATTACATTTAAAACACAATTTGATTTTATTATAAATTAGAAAATTCATCAACAAGAATAGTCGTCACATATATTGTCATATTTATAAAAATGTTTTTATGTGCCGTAAATTCCTTGCACATAATTGTATTGCAATTGTAATACTTGTTATCAAAATAAATTTCACTATGTATTAGTTGGATATAATATCAAAGTTGTATAGTTGATGAGACTAACAACATTTAGCAGCTTCATATGGGTAATTTCTAAAATCTAAAAGCAACGGCTGGACATCCAAACTACTATGGCGGGGTGATGTAATTAATATTCAAGTCTCTTCATAATTTGTATGGTCTTGACAATGATCTTGTATGTTATTGACTCCTTAATTACAAAATTCTGCTCATCATAATCAAGATTCTCACAAAGTTGTAATTTAATGTTAACTTAACTTGAAGATGAACAAAAGCTATTTCTGTCCTTTTCAATATCCAAACATAAAACTAGGGAAAGCATCACAAAAGTTGACTTTATTATATATAATTTCTATTTCCAGCTAGCATTATTGTTTTATTCTAATGTGAATATATCCCATTAGGTATAGCATTAAAAGTTTATATTGTCAAAGCTATCACTATAAATATTTTTTTGTTGTAATAATTGTCATAATTGAGAATTATAGATGATTTCTATAATTCGCAGAGAAACTATAATTCTACTACTATAATACTACAACGTCGCTCAGGTAGTCAAGAATCTCTAGTTGAGAATTATAGTTGATTTCTCTAGTGCTTTTAAACTTTTAACTATTCTTAATGTTTATGTTTGAGTGTATTATAGTTGAATTTGGATATTGATCTAACAAAAAAGCTAATAATATATTTATAATGTGAAATACTTAGCTTTGGTTTGCCATTATTTTTATGATAATTGTGATTTTTTTAGTTCAATCAAATTAATATTACAAAAAAATTTAACTAAAATTTCAGCAAGCTTTAATAAAATCTAATAATTAGAAAGAACTTAACAACTGATACAATCTCGTTTAGTGCAGTTGAATTGTTCAAAATTTATCAAAGTAGGAGCAAATGTATGATAACAAGCAACAGTTCTTGCTCAGGGTCAAGGAAAAGGACTTTTTGGATGTGCCTTGCTATACTTAGTGTGGATTAGATGCTTTGGAAATCTTGTGGGCAATGGGGTGGTGATCCTCTATGACAACCATGCAGATATGTTTGTTAACTACAAGCAATTCAATTCTGCTGCTGTCCCCTCTAGAGACCAAGTTCAAGAAACTGGATGCCATTATATGATTACATGCTTGGCAAATGCAAGGGCCCTGCTCTAGCTCTAGGTCACAGCATTCTATGTTTCATACACATTAGCTACAATCATGCTCACAGGAGGAGTGAAAAACTAAGATTACAAAATGATTAGATTTAATTATTTTCTTGTATGTATATAAAAAATACATGTTTTTCTATTCATAAAATATGAAAATAAAATACAGAAATGTACATATCAATTAACCCAAAAACATTAGTTTATATATAGAAGAAAGATTCACTTAGTGGA